CACTTGTTGTGTCAGATGTGCAGTTTTCAGTGCAGACTGTGTGTATCCCACTTTATGCAAGCGCAGCAACACGTGGAAGAAATCGGTGCGTGGGGAGGCTTAGCGTGGATCTTTTGGCCTTTGCAGCAGCACGTCATCGTAGAGCTTTATTCAAGTTTATTTTCTGGAATATGTTTGTTACAAACTGCAGATCATGCCTTTGTTTTTCTTGCATCTCTGAGATGATTCTATTCTACTTTATTATAGTACGAAATGTGAATCTTGACAGTTGTATAGAATTATAATAAATATATATTTTTCTTTTACTAAATGATGTCTTGTTTTTATCTATATGCCCTGAAAGCAAACTGATGATGTTACCTACTGACCGAGTCTCCTATCAATCATTTCTTTAGGTGACCTAATGTAACGCGTTTCCAAAGAGCTTGTTGTCATATAACACATGTTTAGCTTCATCAGTTTGCTCGGGCACCCATAAATTTTCAGTGGGGTCAGGGGTCAGGTGACTTCTTTGGGGTTCAAGTAGCTTTTCCTAGATAAGCTGTTTTAGGCTCCTTATGCTGGTGGGTTAAGAATCCTCCACAAAGATGTAAACCAGCGAGAGAAAGTATCCAGGAGTGATGGACAGGAGGTGAAATCTGGAGCCAAATAAACTTTTTAAACAACATTTTAACTTAAAAGGACAAAATTTCATTTGTTAAATGTTAAAGTTAGACAAGAGAATTTCCACTGTTGATAAAAGGAGTTCAAGTGGATCAAAAACACTCGTTCGTGTGGAAAACGACACTGCTGCCAAATCAAAGACACTCTGGGCAACAGGAGCCTGGAAAGAAGGCTGTTACCTGAGGAGCAACACTGCACAACAAGCGAGTGTAGGTCTGCAGGGAGGTGGCGCAGAGGGTGGAGCAAGTCTCTGAAGGATGTGGTTGATGTCCTTTACCCGTAGAAACCTTCAGTCGAGCCTCGATCTCACATCGATGAAGCCTCTGTGACGCTGCACTCAGGTCTGCACAGTCAGCAGTTTGTCCTCATAACAGGTGAGCAACGGCTGCAGGTTCAATCGAGCTTCTATGAGTCAGGTAAATCCATTAGTTTCATAGGGGCGTGGCCAAAGCATCGCTCCTTCCAGAAGATTTGTTGCAGTGGCCGCTTTGTCTCCGAATGCAGGTGAGTTTAATTCAGGTGTCCTCAGGCGTTTGGATCCTGCTGTAGGATTTCTTTGTTATCTAAGCCAGAGCTGTTGAATGCAGATCGCTGACACGGCAGACTAACATCTTTGAAATTACAAAGTAAAACATTTTGCTGCGGCTGTCGTCGGTGACTCCACAGTGTGACGGGATGCGAGCAGGTGGGAGGGTTTCTGAGAACGTGAGATGGGTGCGTTTGTGTTTGGCAAAATGAGATTCAAAGGCAAACACAGAGGTCACAACATGAGCCTGACTGTGCTGAGCTCATCCTAATGTAGTCCAGGTGAGTGATTAGACGACGAAGAGCTAATCGCTCGCTCGCAGCTGAGGATGCAGCTGGAATTGGTAAGCAGCCACACCTCTGAGAGGACGCTCAAACAGGAAACCCGTCCACCGACACAGAGGCGGCGGGACGGCATCGAAGACACGCAGCGTTTCCTTTTGGGAGCTGATGCAGAGCACTTTAATCACAGTGACAAAGATCTCTGCCTCTGACGCACTTATTGCAGGATTCAGTCATACGTTACTTTAACAGCACGGTGTTAGCTTTATCTCAGTCTGCATACTCAGACACTCACGTTTTATTAGCCATAAACAAAATAAGTGAAATAAGGTCAGGGCTTGAAATTGTGAAACAATTTTCCAAAACAAACAACATATTTAAATTTCAGATGTGTCAAAAATATTATGGCCCTGAGTTTGTGTCTTTATTCTACTTTAACCTATTGTCTCCCATATCTCCTCAAATATATCCAGAGTTTCCCGTAACGGTATGGAGAGTGTATGTAACCCATATGTGCAAAAGTTTATTCTGCTGTTGGACCTGTATGAGGTCATCAGACACACAATATGGCCGTGACCACAGAAACCTTACACGCCTGATGTTTTAAACCTTGTGTCTGTGAGGGGCAGCCAATCAGAAGAAAGCTGTTTTAGGCAGATGAACTGAAAGATAAGATATGCAAAGCTGCTTGGTTAGAGTCCAGGAGTAAATACGTGGAGCTGCACATGAACAGAGCAGGTCCCCTTTAACGATGGCGGCAGTGATGCCTCCTGATGACCAGCAGAGGTCGCCCTCTCTCAGCACATTTAGTCATGATGACGCAGTTGGCTTTGAGGTTCCTCAGGTCCTCTGATGGAGGAGTTTGCTCAGTGTGAAGTACATCGCGGGCAGTTGTGTGTGGCAGCTGTGCGGGGGTGAAACAGTTGGACGGTGCAGAGCGTGCAGGAAACGGACCCGCTCTCAGATTCAGCCCAGGTGGCTCGCTGCTGCTTTTCTCTGCACAGCTGACGACTGTAAGCTGTAAATCAGGCCTGTGCGAAACATTACCATGGTGACAAGGCCAAGAGCTGAGAGCTCGCATCTGTGGAAACACCAGTTGCTATGGCAACGGTCACGGAGCAGGAAAGAAGCGCCAACATGGCCGTCGATGGAAAGCGTCCGAACTCGGAGCGCGCGGTCACAGCTCGTTTTTTTTCTCGCCTCGCAACGAATGAGGGGAAAATGAAAGAAATCTCAGTGACACCTGTGACTGCGTGAAGCCGAGCGCTGGCTGTCATGGAAATAACTCATTTGGTACAGGAAGGGTTTCACTGGTCTGCTTCAGACTAAAGAGGCTCTTTGTGGTCAGTTTCCAATCCTCATGTTTGTCCCGGGACGGGAGCTGCTGATCCTCAGTGGGAAACAAATCATTTTAGCTCCCTTCCAGCTCCTGTAGTTCTACTCTGTTTCTGATTGGTTGCCCTTCATAAACGGAAGGTTTGAACAACAGGTCTGTGGGGCTTCTCGCTCAAAGCTTTATATTTTCATTCTAGAAATTCACAATGTGGCTTTGCATTACTCACCGTTGGAAGAAATCCTTACTGTTCTTAGAGGTATCATCCTGTGCCTGTGAGCTGTGCTTGAAGACGGCACAAAGAAATGAGCTCATCGTGTTCAGCAAAGCTTGCTTGTAAAGCCTTGAGCTGAGCGTTTTCACCTTTGTCACTAACAGAGATGGGCAGTAATCAGATTACTTTTTTCAAGTAATGAGTAAAGTAAGGGATTACTAATGCAAAAAGGTAATTAGATTACGGTTACTTTCCCGTGAGCACGCTGCGTTACTGCGTTACTAAAACCGTGATTTTTTTGCGAGAATGTCTCATGACAGTGACGTAAGCGAGTGCGACATTTGTGGCAACAGCTGTGTGCAGATCAACAATGGATCATATATCGAGTGCGGGAGAGAGTATGAGCGTGCAGCGTTGAAAGCGTGGAAGTACTGACCTTACTTTGAGTTTGATTCCATAAAAAGTGACAAAAACATTAGTGTCCGCTGTGCGTGGGAAGAAAACTTCTTTTTACAGCGAAAAAACCCTAAACTTCACTGACATGACGGCTGTGGCACACCTGCACCAGGGCAAACCTCCGCCTGCCTTACTCCTGCTATACAGGTGAAAATAGAGCAACAGGACCGCTAGTCTTTGACTTTATTTATTTTCTGCTGTGTTTTACTTGCATCTATTTGAAAGACTGAGTGTAAACACAAAAAACTTTTATTTTATGTGCTGGAATGTGCAGAAAATAGGTTTAAATGTTAAACTAATTTCTTCCAGTCAGAGAATGTTGCAGATAATTTATTTTTTGCTTGATGCATAAAGTTAAAAGATTAAAACTAATAAAACAAGTTTTAAAAAGAGACTTTTCCATTTGATTACATTTTATATGATGGATTATGCAGAAAAAGTAGAATTGGGATTGATCTGTCGCTTCATTACCTATTCAGGGTGTAAATCGTGTTGTTAAAAAGTAACTAAGTAACTAATTGCTTTCAAAAATAGGTAATCAGTAAAGTAACAGGATTACTTTTGGGGGAAAGTAATCAGTAATTAGTTACTGATTACCTTTTCAAGTAACTTGACCAACACTGGTCACTAAAACCAGGTGTTACAGGTGAGACAGATCTGACAAACTACAGATCCCTGCTTGGTAATCACATGTTAAATACCCAGACATCGGGTCTTTGGTGCTGCTGTAGTAGGTTATGCTAAGGTCATTCCCATAGTGAAAAAGAGGGCCATCATAGGGTCTGATGCTGGGTCCAAGCCCTGATTTAGTCAGGGTGCTGTTGCCTATCCTGTAGAGGTCTGTACATCCCCCCCCCATGGTTTCCTCCATCCTCTTGAGACTCTGCTATGAGACAAAGCAGGCTTATCTATCTGTGTCAGAAAATAAGGAAAAGAGGAACAGGATGGAATCTAGTCTTTAAGTCTGACATCATTAGCCATGCCTGGGCCCAAACTCTGCTGCAGGACCCTAAGTCTAACGATCACTGCGGCATCACAGAGTTAAAAACTGTCTAAATCGTTTCATCTGTAATAAAATGATCAGCGTTGCTGCTTTACCAGGTGTAACAATTAAGTTTAACATCCATGAAAACTGAATTTATGAAATTTAATGAAGTTAGAAGTTAGCAGGAAGCTAGCTCGCTAGTTTCCACCTAAACATTTCATACCATGTTCTGACAGAGATTTCTGAAACAAATTCAAACGTACAGCTCTGCTATCACTTTGACATAAATGAAGACAGAAAACTAAACAGCAGTGACGTTTGTAGGGTTACTGAAGTTGGGCTAGCTGGTATATAATGACGTGCTATGTGATCGCTAGCGACACAGCTACGTTAGCATAAACAGTGAAGCTGGAGGACGAAAACGAACTTTTTCCCACTCAATAAAAGTTAACGTGAGGGTTCCCGATGGTTAGGGACAAATGCAATCGCATGGCAGGATGCTGTAAACGGGCCAAACTTCAGTCGGGAGAACAACTGAGATAATCCATCCACAATACGAGGTTAGTCATTAATATACTGCTGCATGGGCTGGGCTGTAGTTACATCGGTAATAAAAACCTAGAGAGGCCGACTGTGATCACTGACTGTTTTTAGAGGCTTGTTGAGATTAAATAGAACAAGATAAAAAACATTAAAACATGTTAAAAACACAACAGCCGTATTAAATGCAGACTACTTTGGGCCCGGAAGCAGGATTCATCACGTCATCACTTAAAGACCGGATAGGTTCCCATTTAGGAAGAATTGGAAAACTCGTAACTCCTCCCACCTGCAACTCATCATAAGAAATTAGTTGTGTTTCTGTATTTGACTGCAAACATAAAGATGGGCAGCAGAGAGCAGGGTCCAGCTCATCAACATATCGTCTAAACCTGGTTCGCCCCAGAGGAAAAGGCCACGTCCAAAACATTTGTCCACACTATTCACTTAAAACTTAAAGACACACAACTCACAACACGCATGTTTAAATGTTCACAGTTTACTGACATTTCTTTACAGGAGTTCTGGGTGATCGATCAAACCAGCAGAAATCTCTCACAGCTGCAACAGTTTCACAGACATCATGATTCAGATTTTCTGTCACATTTGTGAGGTCACAGGGTTCATGAAAACACAATCTGAAAAAATAATCGACACCGTCTCGTCAGTAGTTCATCACACATAAACTCGCTTCCTGACGTCACGCAGACACGACCTGAGCACCAGGCGTTACAGTGCAGTTGTGCAGAAGGATGCAGTCCCTCAGAATCAACCTGCCACAGACTGCAGTGAGAAGTTTGGCAACACGACCTCAGATTATTGCACACAAAATCGGCGAAGATGCATGAACAGATTCGCACAACCTGAAGAACATGAAGGGTCATTTACTCTCTAACCGCAATCCTCAAAATGTGCTGAAGCATACTTTGTGTTTAAAAGAATTCACCAATAGCCACTAAATAAACGGCCAAACATTTGTGGAAATTTGCTCATTTCTCTTTTCTTTTTGAGACTGGAACCAGGACATCGCTAACAACCCTGAAACGACCTCTAAAGTTACCCCGCTCATGGTTTCTTGATGGAACTGCTTTTTGTTCAGCGGTGACTGTGCGCTGCCTGTGGCACCATGGCGTCTGATCTAAAACCTGTCCTCGGTGACAAACATGGCTGACACTACGCGGAAGAGAAAAGAATTAAAACCACAAATTTCTAATTTACATGCTCGTCTGTGTTTGGAGTTTTCTAGTAGCTCCCAACTTCTAATCTAGAAGCTTAACGTGTCCGATCATCCCATGCTGAAAACAGATGGCTCAACGTCTGTGTTCATTTTGTTAATTTTGACAAAAACTAGATTGAAATTTATTGACACTTTTGTTGATGAATAGTGACTACATGTTGTGCAGCGGAGTTAGACGTGCACAGTTTGATCTGGGGGGCGGGATTACGCTCACATGCTCCGACAACATGTCAAAGCTTGGGAGGAAGAGAAGAGTAAATTTAACGCTTCGTAAACTGTGTACAGCAACTTTTACATTTTTACACTTTATATTTTAGTCAACTTCAGATTTAGTCTAAGATGATCTAATAATGTTTAGTCGACTAAAACTAGACTAAGTAAAGGACAAGTCTTCACTGTCAAAGGTAAGTACAAAAATCTTACACTGGTTATAGTTACATAATTAAACCTGTGGTTTTAATTTCACAGTCAAAGCAGGAATATTTATTTCTGTTATTTGCCACTTCATTACATATGTATGTAACTGAAATTAAAACCACGGATCAACATTATGTAACTATAACCAGTGTAAGATTTTTGTACTTACCTTTGACAGTGAAGACTTGTCCTTTATTTAGTCTAGTTTCAGGAGGACCTGGCAGGGTTCAGAGAAACGTGTTCATGACTTTACTGACTGAACAGCCGTTTGGTATTTCAGCCCAACAAACGTGGCAAAAATAAATGGCACTCTTTGCAAAGTAGCTTGTTTTGACCTCCCGAGAGTTTTTCAAGGATGCAGCATCTTTTGAAAACTATGAAATCTTCATGAATTGCACACAGCCATGATAAGCACTATGAAGGTAGAAGTAAATATACCAGTGGCACTGCAGCACCAGACTTGGTTTTTCTTTACTTTTCCGTGCTAAGATAGGCTTCCACACTGATGATCATCTGAACCCAAGAAAAAAAGGAAAGAGCAAATTTCCTTGAAAGTTGTTCATGTTCAAAGCAAAAGCTCAGCTGACTGGAGTTGGCAAAATCTCAAGAAGCTTTAAGGAATCACAGTTAGCAAACTTATCTTCCCTTTTTAGGATTCTCTTTGGTCTGGAAGAAGTTTGGAGACAGACTTTCGTCCGGCCTCGGAGGTTCTGGACAAACTGGCATTGACACTAGCTAAGTATTAACAAATTATTTACATATTTAATTAAATTCTTATTGTTATTAAAATTCACAAGATAAGTACCTGTAGCAATCCCAAGCATGTCCAGTTTTTGGCTCTGCTTTAGCTTAACAATTTTAATTATTAGCGCTGCCTGTCAGATGTCCGATCCAAATAAAAGCCCAGGATGTACACCCCCCCCCCCCACACACACACACACACACACAAAAAAAAGAAAAACAAACACAGGACGACAGTTTTAGCACAAACAGCAGTTTAGGCAATCAATGAAACACTTGTTCTGTGCTAATCAGGTGTTAGCATGCTAGGCTTTGACTGTAATATTAGCGCTTGTATATGCAACACTCATTACGCTAACATGTATGTACACACACTAGCACAGCAGGATGTTGGTGTAAGCAGAAGTAATCTATTCAAGGCAAAATAAAGGATAAAGTATAGAAAACTACTATGATTATAAAATATACTTTTACACGGTACAGAGATATTCTAGATTGTCCACAAACCAAAGTTACCCTGTTATCTTTGGCTAATCACTGCCAACAAACCAGCAAATTCACTCTTCTTCAAACACACACTCACACACACACACACACACACACACACACACACACACACACACTGCTTAGAAAAAACCCTCAGATGTATTCGTTCGACAGGACCAACCTTTGAAACTCACTTTCTTCCAAATCTTCCCATGAAATATGAAAATAAACAGACATTTTCTCATATTTAACAAAATTGCATTGAACAGTTAGATTATGACACATTATTAAATCATAACATTTAACCCTGATAAACATTTCTTAGATTGTTGAAACCACCAGCTTCCTTCAAAGGTGCCTGCAGTCATATTGGCTCACAGCAGCCCTTGTGACAAGATAACAGAAACCTTGATATCTTGATATTTAATCATCCTCTCTGATCTGAAAATCTACCTGAACGTCATCACTGATAATCTGACAGGCTGGAACAAAGTCTCAATTACGCGTTTACAGAATTAAAAGTACAATAATTAGACTGAATTTGCAGCTAACAGCTGACATGTAGTGATATGTACCTGTACTCATTCATGTACCGTGTTTGTGTAGTATCATCAGTGTTGTGTTTTCACAGATTTCAGATGCAACAGCTCACAAGAATATAATGTTTTTGCCTCCTGTGTGATAAGACTGATAGTTCTCTCATGTCTCTAATGGATATGAAATTATTGCCAGAATGTAGTTAGCTTAGCTAGGCCCGGCTAAAAGATTAGAAATAGAGCCAGTCTAGAAGAGTCTACTTCCTGGTATTTCCACCAGGAATCCAGCCAGGTGAGCAGTAGGGGGCGATCGTGAGCCAATCCTGAATATGTGTAAATGAAGCTCAACAGCTAACACGTTTATTTACACCCGTTTAAAGACAAAAAGCCAATTTTTATTTTAGTATTTCTAACACAACACTGATAATATGCCAGATTTGATATGAAACGACTCTTTTATCTCTCCTTTGATTTTTATTTTTTCTAAATTTTGCGTCGGTCGTTTAAGGACGGGGCGTACTTTCTCGATGGTTGTGGGAAGCGTAGCTTAACAACAATGGAAACTTCCATTTGTATATAAGAAGCTACTGGTTGCGTCCCACTTCAAAAGCTGTAAAGCTTTCCCAGATTTACTGCAACACAAAACTGTAAAACTCTTAAAAAAATAAAAAAATAAATAAAAGTAAATCTGTTGGCTCAAAGACGTCTTTTAAGAACATCATGGAAACTCGCCAAAGAAAAATGCTTTCTCCAGTAGAACTGGTCTTTTTCTTCATCTACATAGAGCTCCACTGATTATGGAATAACTCATGAGCGCCCCCTACGCTCTCTGAGAAACAAGGGAAATGGGTATCCTGGTTAACTGGACACCTGTGAGGTCACAAGCTGTTATCTCAGGTGTGCTGGCAGATTTGGAGATTTTGCTTTATAATATTTGAAACTGAAGGACAATCGTAATAATTTCTATGCAAAACTCCCAACATTCCCAAAATTCCCAACCATGTGCTGCATGTGGCCTCTGTGTGGATTTGTTACTTTTCTTTGTCCCATGTTACACAGAAAGAATTTATTTGATAAACTGATGGATGACGATGAAGCCGCAGGATTTCTGAGGGACAAATGTTTTATGCTTTTGGTACGTTACATAAAAAAAAATAATTGTTTGTGTGTTAAAAATATAACTCAGTACTCAGACAGGTGTTTACCAGGAACCGTATGGGTCCAGGAAATAAACTTTACTTTCATTATTTCATTATATTTAAATTTGAGTTATGTTTAAAAATTCAAAAGGTTGTTTTCAAATAATGACTTTTACAAACAATAAATAACTGGTTCAGTTTGAATGTTAGGATTACTGAAAAACATACAGATGGATGAGCATGAAGGTGTTATTGGATGTGGGGTTTTCATTTGTATTCTTTAGTGTTGAACAAAGAGCCAAATTGGATATTTTGTATCAAGTCTTCACAAAAAAATATCAAATTGAAAATAATGTCATAGACATCTTTTTGTTAACGGAATAAAACGAACCTGGATCTGAGAAGTTCATACGTGGTGTGGACGGCCTGCTGTTGTTTGTATTTGTCCTTAAATATAAAGTTGTCCAAAGTCAGTCAGTAATTGTGTTAAATAATCGTGATCTCCATATTTACCAAAGTAACTGCACACTGACAGATTTGTTACCAGTGGAGCGCTCTCAGGGCTACGGTAGATATGATACATCTGTCCTGTTTGATTTCCATGTCTGACCCACGTATTTGAAACACAGAACATTAGGATTTTGGACTTAACTCTGCAAGAATGTCATACGAGAGAAAGAAAATCAACAAATCCGACACTCTGACACCAGGATGTGTTCTGCACTGCAGCTTCAAAAATCACAATATTCATCATCAATTTATAGATGAATCATCGGGACTGGAGAACCAAATGTGAGAAGTGTGCGAAGTGGAGATTCAGCTGAACACAGCGCTGCACAGAGACTTGCGAGGCCTCTCGATGGCGCCGCATTTATTTACACTCCGAGTCTGTGGGAGTGCGTGGAGATTAAAACGGTAAACCACCCAGGATACGCCAGTGAAACGACGGTGTGTTGAAACAGCATCTTAGAGAATTTAGAGGCTGTTTGATCATAAAGGTGCAGAAATCCTCTAACAAGCTTAGAGCGAGCAGTTTTGTTGCTTCACACAGTCGACTTTGACATTTTATGGCACAGAAACAAAGGCGGTCAACTAGAAAAGGAGCAGAGACACGTTTCCACAAGGCAACACATCCAGTGGTGTGATATTTGATGCCGGTCGCAGGCGGTCTGGTGTGTGAAGGATCTGACCAGTTCATCGTGCGAGTTAAGAGTTTGAAGCTCATGCAGCTCTTTAGAGTCTATTTACTCGTTCAAAACAGCAGAGAGTCATTTTTATAGCAGGCCCTTGATTAGAGGCTCTCTGCAGATGGTTGTGTTGCTGAAACTGAGCTCAGGAAGGCTGACCGTCTCCAGGACTGGAATGACCATCAACATTTGTGTTCATTTAGCCTTTTCTGCAGAGAGCTTTCTCCCTCTGAGCCCCCGTTTTGGATCTGACCACGCTTTTTTTTCTGCTCTTCGGTTGTTTTTATAAACCCAGATGCATTTGAAGAGCTCTGACGCATCATCAAATGAGTCAGAACTTCCTATCAGATATTAAATAACACAGCTCAGATCCAGATTCACTGAGAGTGTGATGTGAGTCTAATGTAACCTCTTAACTTCCGCCGGGAAACTGGAGACCCATTTAGGGTTCTGGGTGGGTTATCGCCTTTTTCTAGTTTCTGAAATGTGCTTGTTTAGCATCAAGCTGAAGCGTCGCCAAACCCAAGCTCTAATCCTTAGTGGGTCACCAGAAACCATTTGGATGTCTGAGTAGAATTTTAGCTCAGAAGTTTTTTCCTTTACGTCTGTACTCGGTGTGACGGAAATGTTCAAACTTTAGTCCCTGCAAGTTAACATCAGCTTGTCTTCTACGGTTCTTTCAGACTAGAGTAGCTATAGTAGAATTTATGAAATATTATGACAGTGTATCGTGGCCATTAAACCTTTAAAAAACATGAATGGAGCAAAGAGAGGAAGGTAATCTTCCCGAAAAAACGTATATAATTCTTGGTATTTTAATCCCAGATATATGGATTTGTAATCTAACGTTCAGAGTTATATATTTCTTTGAATGGCAGCGTACCTTGGAGAACTGATTACTGAAAGGTGTAAACTTTTGTCTTAATTTTTCTCTTTATGAGGACTTAAAAGGATATTCAGTGAGATTTATGTTGGCAAATCTTGCAAATTGTGTCCCAATACACAAAGTTTTGTTTTGAAATATATTTAAAATGTGATTTCTATGTGTAACTGAGGCGTGAGTGACCATGAAGTTTGCTGTTTCCAACACACACATTTAATGAATCTGGGTCTGAGTGATCTTGGAAGTTTTGTTCAGTGTGATCAGTAAACGATGACGTAATGCGTTCCCATCAGACAGTAGTGACCGACAGCAGTGGGCTGGGACAAAGCTGGCTGTCGCTCTCCACTCGAGTCCCGTGAGTCAACAGCTCCTCCACCGTTGTCCAATCATCGAGCAGCTTGCTGTTCCTCAGTCGGTTCTGCTTCATGTGGCTCAGTTCCAGCACCGTCTGAGATGACAGTGACCCCTGAATGCCCCCAGTTTGCTCCTCCCCACCTCCCCTCCTCTCTCGGTGTTGGCGTGACAGCGCCAGGTGGCGTCTTCTTTCCGTCCGGCTCCAGTATCGCCCCGCCAACCGTCCATCGTCTCCTTCCTCCTCCCCTAGTCTGCCTCCTTCTCCTCGCACCTCCTCGTCTGTGGTGACCTCACTGCGTTCCCTGGCCAGACGGTATGCTCGGGCCCTGAGCAGCTGATTCCTGACTGACCTCTGATTGGACAGTCTGGAGCGAGGTGAGGGTGGAGAGCGAGGACTACGTTGCGGAGCTCCAAGAGTGCTGTAGAAAGGACTGCACGTGCCCTTTGGCCTGCCAGGGCGGTTCCCGAGGGTCTGAATGCCACGCCAGTCTGACATGCCACTGGAGCCGGATCCAGGGCTCTTAGAGAGCGAGTCCTCCTCCCTGCTGCGGTTCGAGCCCGGGCTGTTTCTCATTGTGTTCTGATGATTGGTCAGACTCGTTTTGTCTATGCTCAGATGACTAGCAGGGTGACAGTTGTTGGGATAGCTGGCCCTGCTCCTGGGCCCCAGTGCATTGCTGGTTGTGTCTGGCTGGTTTGTCTGGGCTGTGTTTGGATCTGTCATGTTGGGATGGCTCGCCCTGCGCCGTCGCTGTCCTTCACTCAAATCTGTTATTGTTCGACTCCTACCTGGACCCTCTACAGTCCCGCCTCCTCTGTGCTGCTGCTGCTCCAACCATAGCGCCCTCCGCTGACAAGGCTCTGTACGACAACCTGTTCAAAGAAAGCTGTGATTAGGCCTTAGATATGTGTCTGCAAGAGTGTTTTTGGATATACTGAAATATGCTTGACGGGCATCTCTGTCCTACAACCCCAGAAACACTCACCTGAACCTGGATTATAAACATATAATGTTTCGATGCAGGAGATACAAACACAGTGGAGAGGCTGTTCTCATTAATTCTAGAATGTGAGGTCCAGCGAATAGCTAACAGCTACTGTTACCTGTGTCAGCACTCTGTCAAAGTGGCCACTCCCCTAACTTTGAGCCTTTGCTGTATCTAAATGGATGGATTTTAAACCTGATGTGTAGCTTACGTGAAGAAATCCATCTATAGACAAAACTCTACCCAGCTGTTAACCTACCTTTGTGATGCTGTAGAGTTGGGCATTTTAACATGAGCTGTTGGAGCCGCCTCAAGTGACCGTTCAAGGAACTGAAGCTTTGTCCCTGCCTTAATTTTCAGACGCAAATTTAGCTATTTGATTGGAGGGTGTAAACCTGATAATTCTGTGTTGATGTAGTTATGTTTTTCAGGAAAACGGGGATAAGAAGAAAAGACACCCGACGCTAAAGTCACTTTGACCTCTGGTTGGACTGTGATGAAGCCATAGCTCAAAACTTTGACAGATCAGACATAGGTGTGGACAGACAAATTAAAATGACTAAAAGTGGAGATTTTCACAATTATTTTACTGTGTTTTACTAACCGATAGAGGGTGAGGGTGGTGAACGGTGACGAGGTAAAGTGGGACTCCTCTCAGCTCTGTGGAAGTGAACTGTTGTGGTCGTGCTGTTACCCACAGAGCAATGGGATGCTTTTGGTACTCCAGGTTGGGTCATCGGAGTCGTCTCAGGAATCGACTCCAAATCCCAGCGTCCTCTCTGCTCACGAGGGGAGTGGCCTGAACGAAGATGGTGAGCTTGCCGGTGAGTGTGGCCTCCGTGAATCTTGTGTAGCCGTCTGTGCTCCCCAGTGCTGACACTGTGGAAGCCCGAGTCGCTGGGTTCGGAGGAGATTAGGGACTCGGAGGAAGAGGAGGATCCTTGAGAGGAAGGGGTGTGGCCAGGCAGTGATGACATGGCATCTGTCTCAGCTTCGGAGAGCGCTATCCGGTTGTGTGGGCTGTCGGGGCCACAGCCTAACCCGCTGTCAAGCTCACTGAGGGGAAGGTAGCCAAGAGGACGTTCAGACCTCCAGGGCTGACGATAGTCCGACTAAAGAGAAAATAAAAGAATTTAAACTGAGGTTTTTTTTCCAAATCAAACTGCAAAATATGCTGCAAATGCTCCATAACTGCAACATTTACTAATAAAAAATGGAATAGTTAGAGAAACGGTATAACAGAGACAGGGATAGGTCTGAGAAGAGGGCATAGCCTTGATACTGAAACCAGTTACCTGTCTGGGAAAAATTTTCGGGTCCACCTCTTCTGCACCGTAACAGCCAATCAGACAGCTCTCAGAGTTAGGCTGGTAGTGCAACATTTCTTGGCCCTGAAATAGAAACAAAGGTGAGAAAAGAAACTAGTGTGTCTTCATTGGAGAGGGTCATGAGTTAACTTTAGTGCTGAAAGTCTCCCAGACGTGACCTTGAAGAGGAGTTCAGTCAGATGTTTTTAAGGGCCGATTTATGGAACAATCTGGAAAGATCGCAGCTAGCGTCATATTTTAGACGAACACACTCAAGTGATATTTCAGAATAAAATGGTGTTGTAAACAAAAACAAGTTACCCGGTAGTCCAGTCTGTCCAGGTGGTCTAAGCTGTAGGACACACTGGGCAGGTAGTTGTTGCCTGGGTGCTGGTCATTTGATGATCTGGGGAGGTATCCATTGGGCGGGTAGGCATCAGGTGGCATCATCATGTGACCATTGGGAGAGTATAGGTCAGGTGACACAGTCATGTGACCATAATAAGGCCTGTGTAGTGAAAGAGATCAGGTCACTTTATATTTTATGAGGAAGAGGAATTCAATAAGAATGTAGGACGCTCCAGTAAAAGTGTCATATATACCTGCTTAAATAAAAACAATACATGTATAGTCTTCATGTTCTAAACAGACAGGTACTTCAGGAGAACAACCTTCCATGGCCATGAGAGAGACACTCGATGGAGCATCGTGCTGATCTTGCAAACTCAATTTGCCCCAAACCCTCAAGTAAAAAAGACACATTGTCCTTCAAGCTGGCATATCATGCAAACAGAGGCATAGGATTTATTTTGGTGTTTTTCGTTGCAGTCGTTACACGTCAGCTCATCCCCAAAACTTTTCTAAAAGTTTTTATGATACGTGTTCTCATCCTTGATCCCGAACCCACATTATCTGCTTTGTGGTGAAAGTTTACTCTAGTTGTCCGTGTAGGTTCTCAGTCATCCAGGTCACGGTAAACTAAGGAGCTTGGAATGAAAAGCAACTGGATGTTTCATCTCTCATCTGAAGAGCTTCACCAGTTCTAAGACCAAATGGTGGAGAGTCCCAGATTTTAAGCCCTAGTGGGAGATCTCCCTTGAGAGGCTCGTTGACCCATTAACTGATCATGAGGTGTGAAAAAGGGTGTGGCTCATTATCAGCAGAGACCGGGTGAAACCATTATCAGGGTGAGTGGGTGTTAAGTCGCCTGGGAAGGGATCTCGAAATTGGATTATAGGTGGCAGACAGTTGGTGTCGTAAGCCACGCCCTTCTGTTCAAGGATGGCCGTCGTTCAGATGGTTTCTTTCAACTAAGCCATCCATGTCCATTGCTGGGAAGGCCTTCCACACCATGTATAAACTTATTCTTAGAGTTCAGATAGATATCTACAACCAGATTAGTTTTATTTCCTTGAGAATAACAAAAAGATATCTAACCATTTGTTTTCAATTTGATACCTATAATCCAGTTTTGAGATCCCTTCCCAGGCGCCTTAACTTCCACTCACATCTTGTGTCTGTTGGTCTCAATAAGTTACATGATAGCGTGACGCAGGGACTCACAATGGTTTCACCTGAAACCTCTGCTGATAATGATTCGGATAAGAGGTGAAAACATCTTCAAGAAACGTAAAGAAGTTCATTTCCACTTTCCTTAGTTTAGCTTCAAACTTTCAACTCATCCTCCTGCCATCTTTTAGTCCTACGGCCAACATCGTATCCAGTTTGCAAACACCTTATTCCCAAAATCGGACCTACGTTCCAAACTTTGCACCATTTAATTCTTTTCCTTCTCTATAAAAGTCTCTCATACTGTGAAAAACACAAATTTCTCTATTGTCATGAACGTATGGGATTGGGGCGCTGACTTGGTTATCAAGTCGGATCTTGGCTCCTTAAGAGTAAAGAAAACTGAAATGTTTTTTACTTAAATCACAAAAATGATGCTGTCAGAATACGACAGGAGTACGTACCCTGCAGTGTAGCCGTCTCCCTGACTTTCCTCTCCCTCCATCAGCCCCATGGCTCTCAGGGCCTCCCAGTGTCTCTCGGTGGGGACGCTGCACTCAATTGCACAATGGGACCTTCGCCTCCTGTGACCATGCCCCCTTTTAGCTTCGACCTGCACAGCGACCGGCTGGCCATACTCGTCCACGTAGTGAAGCTCCTCTCGGTGTCGGTGGTGAGCAGGTTCACGAGTTTTAGCCTAAAGACCAAAAAAACATGAAAGCACTGCAAGCTTAAGAAAAAGTGGAAATGAACATCAGTAATTTGGTTCCTTCTATAAACCATTATTTATATTTTCAGCCACCCGAGGCTTCTGCCATGAAACATCGCAGTATTTCGTGGAGTAGTGATAAAGCAGATAGGCTGCATAAAGACACAGAGGCAAAGTGGGAGTTTGGCCTCCAATACAAGGTCAGTCAGTGCTTTTGATCCAACTGTTTGGCATGCCTGACTACAATTGCGTTACATAAAGTGGCAAATGATTCACACTGTCTTTATATAAAAAAACGAGCCATTTTGCATAAGTTGGATAACAAAAGAGAAAAGTTTGGAACTGCAGCAAAGTTTTTCCTTTAGTACTGTGTTTACTGTGAGTGTGTTTTTTAATGGAAACAGATGTTTATTGAATATAAAGCCTCTGACCGATGACCCTCTATGACACCATCAGCTGTGTCTCAGAAGGCTCCATGCAGTATTCATGTAAACTGGAATAGTTATCACACCAGACAAATAAAACCACTGGGTGATGAATAGGTCGTGTAAACACACTGGTACTGCTGTCCAGGCTCCTGTGCATGTTCATGCTGATCTCGCTCTACCTCCAGGATGACCCTGCTTTCATATCTGTGGGATGCAGGTGAGCTTGGCTGATTGGTTGCTGTTTTAGCTTGCTGCAGGCCTGACGCTTGAACGCTGGCTTCCCTCCAGCTTCTGTGGGCTCTCCTCTTTCCACCTCCAGCCAGCAAGCAAACTAGTCACTCAGCCTGTGTGTAGGATGTTAACTGATATCTGCCCAACAATGCAACAGTCCAGGTTTGGTAGAGGTGGGTGGCATCTCTGTTTAATCCTCTATTTCTTCTATTTTGCTGAGTTAGGAGTTTATTCTTCTCTTTTATTTCATTAGGTATGTTTAGGTTGCATTCAGGGGTGAACTGAAGCAAAAATTCCTTCAGCGAGTTTGAGTCTATCCTCAGTCACACAGAAATTTTTATGCTAACCTTGCCTCTGTAGAGCTGTCACGATATCACATTTTCCACATTTTCTCCAACAACCATGCAAACTCACTATGAATACACTGACAGCACCGATGTTCAGAACAGTTAGCATAGACCTTATAAACAGAGAGTGTTAATGCAGGCTGCATTAACACGACTGTATGTCTTTGGATGCATGCGGTCTGTAGGTGAGCGTGACAGAGTTGTGCTGAATTTAAATGCCCTGAAACTAAACTACAAACACAGAAAGTCGAGAAGGAAAAAACGCCTCTCCCTCTACTGCACGCTCATCTTTTCTCTTTTCTTTCCCTTCAAGTTTAAAAGCAGATAACTGCCTCTCCCTGACCCCGGTTCTACTAAAGATCTCCTGTTAAAAGAACGTTCTTCCTCCCCACCATCCCCAGCTGCTGGCTCACAGGAGATCCAATCATTATAAATCAGTCCTATTTTATTTTGTAATCTTTGGTTCCTGAGTATTCTTGTAGTATTCCTTTGACAGTTTTCCCTTAATTTTTTTCAGCCCTGCCATCACCTGTTTAATTAGCCACACCTGTTCCCAGTCAGCCAATCAGCTGTGTCTCCCCCTGCTTCTCTTTGTTCCTTTGCCCGATCCCCTCATCTTTTTAAAGGTTTGGTTTTCCGGCAGTTCCCAGTGCTTTAAGCATTCCTCATGTTCCTGATGATCTTGTGCACGGCCTTTTTGGATTCTCTCTTTTGCCTGCCCCTTGCTGGAATTGTTTGCTGACCCGTGCACGACCTCTGCCTGGTCAAAGAATTTTAGTCTCTTTGCCTCCGGGGTCTTGCATTTGGCTCCTCTGCTCAGCGAGCCCTGCACTAACAGTGTCGGGTACCTCAGTCTATAAAGCCCCTTCAGATGACTTTTCTCTATATGGATGCAAATGAATTCACACAGTAAAAAACAAAAAGATTTGCCTTTGTTGTTTTAATGATGCTATTAAGAAAAACTGTGAAAATCAACAAGTAATGCTGCAAACTATTAAACGCTTCCCTAAATAAGGAAGTGTTAGACGTGAAAGGCTGAATGATGGAGAGTTCAATAGAACTGAAACCAGCATGACGGAGGTCTGAGTTTATAAATGGAACGAAGACGAGTTCACTGAAAAATCGAGAAAGATTTCAGTTGAGTGACTCACATACAAATAAGGCCAGCTGTACCAGAGACGCACGATAAACACTGAGACGCCAGACTGGGAAGATTTGAGATAATAATGAAAAAGCTTCGACTCAGTAAATATTCTCTGCTGCTCGTTTCTGAAGGAGAAACATTGGCTGAGATTTTGTTTGGCTAGACCTCGAAAATAACACGAGTCTGGAGATCAGGCTGATCACAATATCTCATTTTTACAAATTAATTAATGAAGATATGATTTTGAAAAATAACAGCAAAGATGTTATCAGTCAAATCAAGGTTTAACTTTAACTTAGGATAAAATGAGACCTGATCATACAGATTTTAAATATGAGAAGTTTCTTTATTAATTCCCAATTATTTAATTTAGAATTAGCTTTTTCAGTGCTGTATACCATTTTATTTATTAAAATGCAACAAATAAGATCAAGCAAGCTCACTCTGTCCAGAGTGGATCGTCCTGTCCAGTCAGAGCATAAAAGGACCACTCACGCTCCGAAGGACAGGCAGTCATTAGGTCGGCTAAAGCCAAGTGATAACAAAACCCCGTGTAACGGTGCAGCCTTGTGTTGGAACGTCATATGTGAAAGTTAAGATGCAGCGAAGTTACAGAGAGGCGGCATCTAGGTCAGGATTCAGCCCCCCGTAACCTCTGGACCAGCACTGGAGTCTTTACTCTCTCAGTACAAGGCCTGAGGTCTCACACACACACACACACACACACACACACACACACACACACACACACACACACACACACACACACACAGGGACACAAAACACTGGCACAGATATTAACAGAATCAGAAACACATGCACACATAAACAACATACAGTTCATACATGTGGAAACCTGCTTCCCAAAACACCCCTGCCCCTCCTACACACACACACACACACACACACACACACACACACACACACACACACACACACACACACACACACACAGAGCAGTCAGAGAGTGATGTGCTGTACCCTGGAGAAGTGTGTCGCGCTCCACTGCACTTTGACAGTAACACAGACTGATCTCTCTCCCCTCCCTTCATCTATCCGTCGCTCTCTGCTGTTTGTGATGCTTTGACTCAGTTTTCAGTCTCAAAGTGCAAAACTCTGCAGAATGCAGACATTCGTCATTCTCAGCACAAAATCACAGTTAGCATGCAACAAGAGAAAACAAGTGTCACATGAGGAAAGCTTGGTGAATCTGGGTCCACCAAAGTTTGATCATCAGAGCGCGAGTCACTGCAATGCAAAATGTCAAACTAGGCTATAAAGATAAAAACAAGTCTGATACTCAGCCTGCTGTCTTTTAAAGTAGATGATACAAGAGAGTCAAATTTATTTATACAGCATCTTTCATACAAAGCTGCTCAACGTTCAGACGAAAAGACAAAAGCATTAGGACGAAACAAAAATGCAATAAATACAATAAAGTTTATATTTTATGTAAAAGCTACAGAAAAAAGGTTTTAATCCTGATTTCAAATAATAGACTCTTTGTTTTATTCCACAAACGTATGTTACTCTCATTCTGTAATCTGTAGTGGAATACATTTTAAAAGCAACCTTCCCAACACTGAGCATAACTATGCTCCATAATCTGAGCTAAAGAAAGCATATAAATATTAAAAGGAAGCAGTCCGACAACAGAGCCCTGAGGAACCCACACGTGACCTTTATTTGGTCAGAATTATGGTTGCAAAATGACAAAAAAAATCTGAATTTGTCAAGTAAAATTCAAACCAATTAAGCGCAGTTCCTGAGAGTCCCACCCGTTTCTCCAGCCTATCAAGCAGCACTGAGCTGAAGCACTGCTAGGACTGTAACTTTTGATGCATCACTATTACGCTGAATACGAATGCCAAAAACGTTAATTTAGATATCAGCTGGTAATTACTAATTACTGGGACATCCAAGTTGGACTTTTTTAAAAGAGGTTTTATTACTGCATTTTTCAGGGTCTGAGTAAAATGCTGTGATTGCAGAGATGTATTATCTATCTGTAGTATTAGTGGGCAATATATCAAAGGAGAAAGTTGTAGATTTCATCTATTTAGCAATTTCTGTCAAAGATATGAGGTTTATTAAAGGTTTATTATTAAGTTATTATGTTATTACTATGTCTCTTGAAATTGAAACACCATCTGGTTGACTTGTCTTTTGTATTTTCTCAGTAAAAAATGCTGCAAAATCATTACATGGTTTATTAGACGATAACTCAGAAGGAAGTGGAGGCAAAGTTTTTGTTAGTCTATCAATAAACTAAATAAAACACGAGTGTTATTGACATTGTTATTGATGATCTTTGAGAAAAAGGACTGTCATGCCCATTTTTTACTTTTGATTAATAATCTGAAGATGTCTTTATTAATATTGTAATGAGCCTGCACTTTAATTTTCCTCCACCTACATTCAGCCTGTCTGCACTTCCTGTTCTGAGTTCTAACCATTAAATCATTGATCTTTTCCCTCCACGGATAATTTTGGTCTTAATTGGAGCAACAGTATCCATAACAGTGAGCAGACTAAGGTAACAACCATTTACAAGATCATCAGCAGAATCCAAAAGCAAAGATGATGGAGGTATATAAGCCTCAATAAACTGTGGACAGGTATTGTCACTGATACGTTGATAGCTTCATCTTTACCAGTGATTTTAAACACGACACAATAATGATCTGAAAAGGCTGCATCACTGACCACAGTGTCAAATACATTTAAACCTGTAAAGATCCAATACTCTTCTCTGAGGGCCTTCAACTTTCAGATTAGTGCAAAGCTCAAGCCCAGATTACGCAGATCTTCAGGATGGGATGCCAAGTCTGCATTAAT